AAATTCAAAATGAAGGTTAAAAGTCAAATCAAAAATAAATTAGGAAGACGCTTACTTGGCGGTTATGGATGCAAGCAAAATATCAATGAAGCACGAAATTTGATTGAAGAAGCATCCAATCTTGGTCATACTCATGCTAAAGTTTGGTTAAATAATTATAATTCAAATAATGATTTTGGTGCAAGTGTAGTTATCAAAAACAAAATGAATTAACTAAGAAGCTTTCTTATTTGCAAAAACCAACTATTTAGTATTTCACTTTCTCTAGAGTAGACATGCGGGCCAAAAATCTAATCAATTTTAAATTTATTTTATGATATTAAATTTTTATTTTATTTTATAACAATAAGGATTGAGATAATATTAGGCCTAAGATGGCGCGTGAATTTGAAGGTGTATTGTCAGGCGCTAATTTCATAAATTAGCCATTTCCAAAAAAAAAAAGCATTTGTTAAATACAAGTAATCCATTAAATCTGAACTCCGTAAATCGAACATGTTAGCCAATCAATCTCGTTTATCAAAAAGTTTTTCTTAAATTCCAAAGAAAGTATTTCTAAACTCAGGCATAAGTTAGCCATTTCCCAAAAAAAAGCATTTGCTAAATACAAGTAAAATATTAACATTAAGTCTGAACTCTGTAAATCGAATAAGTTAGCCAATCAATCTCATTTATCAAAAAATATTTCTTATCATATGACTTATTTAAACATCCATCTAAAACTATAATGTGTAATAATGTGGCTTTAGCCTTCATTCAGTTTGATGATTGCATCAGTTATATACATTTATATGAACTAAAAAAGCTAAATTGATAAATAGTAGATATAGAAATACAGAATAAGTTTACTTTATTGATTGGAAATTTAAATTCAGCTTAAACAATTTAATTGATCTTGTCAACTTCTTTTACGCAATTGGTCACTCAATGCAAATTCATTATCATTACAAATCCATTATATTTAGTATGTTAATCAACGAATTTACATTGAAAAGCAAGAAATTCTTTATTAATATTGAATATTTAGTGTTTGAACAGTATCGCAACAATACACAATGGCACGTCGAATTGCTGGTTATAATTTATATTCTAAAACTAATTGGTTGCATTCTTGATTTAATTCAATTATTGAAATTTTAAATTTTCTTCTATTATAGTCATCAAATTTAACAGTTAAGTATAATTTTCTTAAATAATTGAATAGAGTCATAAATTCATTTGAAAATTGACAATGTATCAATTTTTCTACGTATGAATACTATTATACGAACACTAAAAAACCATTTTTACTATCGAGATCCTTTGTAAGACTTGCAATATTCGGTAGCAAGAAAAAAAATTTTTAAACAAGAACGAGTTACGTATTGTATGAGTAGCTTTACAGGGGAAATTCACGTGATTGGTCAACGTTAATAATATCACGTGAATTGCACCCATAGTGTGTTGGGGTAGTTCATATACTAATTAATCAAACATGTGCGAGGTA